ACCACCCGGCCCGCCTACAGTCCGGGGCCCGCTAGGCCCTTCAGGCTGCGCCCTACTTTCACCGCGGGGTCTCAGACGAGGCGCGCCCGAGCTGGGGCCGCGAGAAGGGTCGCCGGGTCCGCGCGTCAGGTCCCGGGCGCAGGGGTACGCGCCGCGGGACGTACCGGGGCGGGACGTGTAAGGGACGGGGCGGGGCCGAGTGGTGGGGGCGGGGCTCCAGGGGGCGGGGCTCCAAGGGGCGGGGCGGACAGGGCGTGAAGGGAGCCGGGTAGGGGCGGGGAACGAGGCGCGCAGGGCCTGGGGGGGCGGGGCGCACGGGGAGGAGGACGGGACCGCGTGCAAGGGGGCGGGGCGAGAGCACGGGCGAGGGCTAGGGCCTGCGTTGTGCACATTTGAAGAGAGTGCTATTTGCGGGCTTAAGAGGATGGCGTGTCAAGTGGGAAAAAGTGAGCACTTTTGACACAGTCTTCTGTTTGAGTTTAACAGGGGAGTAAAGGTGTAGCGGATGGGGGTTGGGGCGGGCAAGGGACAATAGGACGAGGGCGGGACGGACCGAAAGCAGGGACAATAGGGCGAGGGTGGAGTGGACAGGGAATGGGGCGGGACGAGGGGTGGGCAGTGGACACAGGGAAAGGGGCTGGGCGAACAGGGGGCGGAGCAGTAGGTGAGGCACAGGGGTCCTGGCGCGCAGTCTCAGGCGTTGTCCTGGAGCTCAAACCTCAGGGCGGGGGCCTGGGCACTGCGGTCCATCTCTGAACACCCCGATGATGCAGTTCAGTCTCTTCCACTTAGTAGCTGGAGGTTCCTGGAGAAGTAGTTTAACCCCTTTCACCTCAGTTTTTCTCTCTGTAAAATGGAAATAGCACAAGTACCTGCACCATTGGGTACTGTAAAACATAAATAAGACAAGGTCTGCCAAGAATAAGTGCTCAATATATTAGCTTGATGCATGAGTTCGTAGTATTTGTCTTTGGCGTGGCAACGCTGCAGTATTGGAAGTTCATCGTTGGTCATTTGGAGTGGCAACGTTGTGCTTGTAAATACACCTTGCCATTTTGCAGATTTGAGGAAAGTTAGTGCTATTTGTGGGCTAAAGAAGATGGAATGTCAAGTGGAAAAAACGAGCACTTCCGGCATATTCTTCTATTTGAGTTTAACAGAGGAGGAAAGGCTGTGGAGGTGGCTGGAAACATTTGTGCTGTGTCTGGGGAGACTGCCATTGGGGAAAACATCCCAAGAAATGGTTTTGTCGTTTCAGAGAGGGCCACTTTGACCTGAGTTATTCTCCCCGTTCAGGAAGACCATCGGGCTTTGGTGAAACCTGTCGACATGCTTTAATCCGCGATGATCTATGTGAGTCAAGCTAAGAATGGACCAAAGTGATGGACTGTCACCAGTCAACCATTGCGCAACACTTGCATTCTGTGATCAAGCGAGAAACCCCACGGCTTATGCGTCAACCCAATATTAGCTCTTTTATTGTTGCTATTAAAAAGATCATTCACAGTGTCGCCCTGGGGACAGCAAACATTTTCCAGCCTGGAATGTGATAGATTTCCATAGCCAAAGCCAATTGCTAGAACCTCAGTAAAATTGTGGGAAAGCATCAAGATTGAAGACTGTTTTCTTCTCTTGAGCTTCGTGGTAAATACTAATAAATCTTGAAACAGCAGTGGCATCCAATAGGAGGCTATTAATAAGGTCCAGACTCCTTGCAAGACCATCACTCCACCTTCAATATCACTATCCTTTTTGACGATGTCCACTCACTCACCATAGTCCACACCGCCTCACTTCTTGGTGGTCTCCCTCCTGTCACTTGCCTCCCTAAAGCCCATTCTCCACACTGAAGCCAGAGGGGTCTTTGAAAAATACAGATAAAATCCTATCAGCCCTAACCTCCCCTTTTAAAACCCTTTCTTCCTGTTGCTCATAGATGCAACTCAACTCCCTCCTAAAAACTATGAGGCCCTGCGTGGTCTCCCCCATTACTTATTATTCTGGCTTCATTTCACATGGATGGATTGACTCTAACAAGTGGGAATCTTCAGTTTCTGGGCCCTCACTTGCATGGGTCCCTCCAAGACCCTGGGAGAAGCACAGCAATGTTTCACAAACTGCAAGAATAAGCTATTTTGCCTTGAAGATCAATGTCTCTTTCCACTCCAACTCTCCCTCTATCATACTGTGTTGGTGGCAGTGGAGCATCCGAAGGATGCAGCTGAGGCAGAGTTGAATCAAGTACATGTTTAATTTAGGTTCCAAGGGATCAATCTGTGTGCTTCACAGTCACCTCAGTCCATAGTGAAGTCACTACTGTTGGTCCAACTAGGAATGGCTTCCAGAACACACCTACTGCCCACCACGGCAATTCAGCCTGCAGTGTGACATGAGGATGCGAGGTCACAAATTGTGTCACTGCCCAACATCAGGAGCATGTGTATAGTGAACAGGAAATAAGATTGAAACATACAGAGCCAGATGCTAGTCTAGAGAAAATATTTGTACCCATCAGACACATTAAACTAAGCAGAGGATTCAGTTTTCATCAAAGTCAAGTTAAAGCAGAAGTCCTTTCCTGTCAGAAATCTGTCTCACAGCACAGTGTCTACAATTCCTAATGCACTGCACACTTCTTCCTTTCTAAGAAGAATTGCACAAACCAGGAGATATCCAATCTTGTGTCCACAGAGTACTAACATGTGGCAGTACTGTAAACAGCTAGAAGCTCCACGTGGGAAGCTGCGTGTTTTATGATCTCATTGTATTGGCTCATGTCTTCCTTGGCATGTCTGTCTCAACCATCTCAGGGGCTTACAGATGAAATGGCCTGTAGATCATAACAAATGCAGTGACTCATGAAGAGGAATAGAGACAGTCCATATCAAAGTAATAAATAGACTTGGATTGTTTCATAATCTAATTAATTAGAAGGAGTGAATTAGCCAGGAGCAGTGGTGTGTGCTTGTAGTCCCAGCTACTTGGGAGGTTGAGTTGGGAGGATGGCTTGAGCACAGGAATTTGAAGCTGACCTGGGCAATATAGCAAGACTCTGTCTCTAAAAAAAAGAGTAAATTATATAAATATACCATTTGGGAAGGTTTACATTTCTCTATTATTTAACATGAACACTGGCATAGAGAAAGACAATATAGAACTCATACCACTGCAGTAGGGACAGCAACAATAACCTGGCTAATGTGCTGGAAACTCAAAGAATATTTAATATTAGTCACTGTACAAGACTTACAGGTCACATATGAAAGAAGTTTCCCTAGGTTTAGCAATAATCCTAAAAACGTACATGGCATCAAACTCCATAACTTAAATAAAATTGTTTAAAATATCCACAAAAAGTTAATCAGTCC